TTCGGACTCCGAATCACTACCCCAGTCAATGGAGTCATCCGAATCATCGTCGTGATCAGCTGACTTAGACGGCGCAGCCGCCTTAGCCGACTTTGGTTCAGAGGGCTGTTTCAGATCTCGCAATAAAACTTCCGAACCAATGTCGTTCTTATCCTGATCGGAGTCGTAAGCCTCCTCTTCTTCGGCGTCACTTTCTTGATCGGGGGCCTCGCGGAAACGTGTTAAATCTTCCTCAAAGTCCTTAATGTACTTGCGCACTTTCTGACGCAATGTACCTAATGATTTTGAATTGTTTTTCGATAAGTTTTTACGTCCCTCACGGTCTTCCCATACCTCGTTGATGAAGTCTTCCAACTCGGCAAGACAACGAATGTAGAAACGTGGGGTGACGCCCTTCTCTTCCTTGGTAATGACAGGCAATGCCTTTGTGTAGGCACGTGTCAGGTCTTCAAAACTTGACAAAATACTGGCCATGTCCTTAATCTTCTTATGATTACGTATGCTCTTGATAATAGCAGTCAAATTTTCATAACGCTTCTCCTTAGTTGAACGGACAACACGTTTCACTTCTTCTTCATCGTCACTAAATTGCTGCAAGTATGTACATTTTTAAATAAAATACCTTCTTCTTTTCGAGTTGAGATAACTTACAAAATTGGGCGCTTTACTGAATGCTTGTACTGGGACCTCTTCATCACTGGATTCGGTCTCCGAGTCGGAACCCGTGGCAAAGAAACGCGACATATTTTGCTTTTGGTAGTCGTTTAATCAATAGAATGATGGGCGTGAACCTGTTTCCTATAGAAAGTAAAAGAAATTATATTTATTTGAGTTTCCTTTACCTAGGATTATATTAAATCAATTTGTGAGTCTGAGAGGCTGCCTGTCTTAAGTTTCATAATTCGGACGAATATTGCAAAAATATTTATACAGTTTAATTCAATGTTCTAATTTGAGGTTAGATGTGACTGTATGCATTCGCATTTGGCCAACATGGCGCTGTCATTTTGCCACTGCACACCGAATTGCAGTCACTTTTCAACTCGCTTTTTCCACAGAATTTACTATGCGCACGTAACAAATTTTTTTATAAATTAGTTAATGCTACCCTTTTTCTGAACACAATGTAAAATTAACGCAATATCAAGCAATTAAATGCGAAAAACTTACAATTTAAACGGCGAAAAATATTTCCACCGCAGGCTCTTTTTAGCTGGCAGCCGTAAGAAAGATGTTGCCAACAGCGAATTTCGTGCACTTGACGTCAAAAAAGTTGCCACCTTGTTGGAAATTAATGTTTTTACCCTGAAATGTACCCAACCGACATGATCCAACTACACAAGATCTGACAAGATGAAGCAAAAGAAAGCCATGTTATTTTCTTTGAAAAGTAAACAAAGAATATGAAGACGAAGCATAAAGAAAAAAATGCAAGCACTGCATGCTACACCGTCAATAAATACTGACCGTGTGACAGAGCCCTTTGCTTTGTTTACTTTTCGCTCGTTTTCTAGTGAAACAAGATGGCGTAGAACCCGTTCAGACTGTGTTTATACACGGAAGCTCTTGTCGAGGCGATTTTTCACAATGCCTTTTGGTGTTTCTCGTTTCATTTACACACGGCGATTTGTGTGTATGCAATTGTTGTTGTCAGCTGTGAACAGCGGTTCAATTTACACAGAGCCTACAGTAATAATAAATTCGATAGTGAACACCATCGATAGTTGGCGATGGTTTTTAGGCAACTATCGATTGTGTCGATAGTCATTTTCAGCCGATAGGGAATCACTATCGTTAGTCGCTATAGTTTGCCACATACTTCACAAATGAGAATAATTATAGGGGTCTTCCCTTAAACTCGTAAAAGCCTCGTAAATTTACGAGCGTCGTAAAAGAACTGTCAAAATTTTATGCGCAAAGGACTTCATAAACTTCAGTGTTGCCGAGGGGCCGAAGATTTTATACTAAAATGTACGGTAAAATACTGAAAACAAATGAAGCAAATAATAGGTGAATAAAATTAATAAATTTCATCAACTAACTGTATTAATTATAGTTTAATTTACATTCAAGCTGACGGGCTGTTATGAAAAATACTACGAAACAAAAATGTATTCACAAAACCCTTTCCAACCTGCCAAACAGTCACTTTACGCACCCATTTACACATTTGCAAAAGGGGGCGTTCCCGTAACAGCCTCTTACGAGTTTTACACATCTTAAGACTTTACGAGTTTAAGTGAATCCCCTATATATGTTTATCGTTAATCCATCTCACAATCTCAGTTAAAAGTAAGTATTTTAATTCGAATAAAATCAAGATCCAAATGACAGAATTGCTTTCGAAAATTGTTTGTACATTTTTTCAATCCCTTTGCTTCTTCTGTAAATACGTTTGTATGTATATGTATGTACAATTTCGCAAAATTATTTACCTACGCTGTGCGCATATATCCGTTGGTTCTGTGCCATTACGCTATGAATTTTTTACACGTGCACACATGAACCAAAAATACAAGATCACGTAAGAACGCGACGTTGTATTTGTAACTGGTTTTGAGAAAAAAGTTTGCGAAAGCGGGTTCGTCAGCTGAGCGTTTGTTTACATCACAAGCACCACTATTTTACACTTTTATTCAAGTGAAGAAGAGTTAATTCAACATGACAACACATTTTAAAGCATTTTGTTGCATCATTTTACCTAAATTGTGCGTTTAAAGTGGCTGACAATAATTTTGGCTAATTTTGGTTTTCTTTGCTTTGTTTACTTTTCGCTCGTTTTCCAGTGAAACAAGATGGCGTAGAACCCGCAAAAAAAAATCGACTTTTTTCACTCTCTTGTTCTTACGTGATCTTGTGTCTTTCGTTCATGACGTGCACATAGGAATGAAATATCGTCGATAGTATCGGTACTCTCGATAGTCAGCACCATCGATAGTTGCGATAGTGATGCACCATCGATAATATCGATAGTGTCATCGATAATTTTCCACCAATAGTCTAGACAATTATAAAGACAATAGGGCTGTTAGGATCTTGTGAATATGCTCTTCCATTTGCATATTCGTGGTATTTGTATATTCACAACAATAAAGTGCACACGGTTACCATGGCTGCGGGCGTAAAATTTGCAAATCAATTCCAACTGAAAATCCAAGACCATTTCCACAACGTCTTGAACAGCTCTAATACATTAGTCATTCAGCAAGCGCCATTAATATCGTTTTGCCTCAATTTCATATTACATATTAATTTTTCATAATTCTGCGATATTTTGAAGTCCCATGATTCAATAATTAATACCATGTTCTGACCGACAACGAAAACACTTTGAAAGCGAGTTTTGGGATTGTGGGCTGAAGACTTTTCGCACCGGTTGTTAGTGTTTTCGTTGACATTTCTTACATCCTCTGATTACAGTTTCGCTACACAAAAACAAAACCAAAATGCTTTTCCCTCATTTTCTTTTCATTAGCAACCTCTTACTTTCATTCTTATTGTACTTTGGCCAGCCAATTAACAATAAATCCGAAATGGCGTATTAACGATGGTAAAATATGACTTCCACTTCGATAAATAATCGAAAAAAACGAGTGAAGACACCGATTGGAATGAGTGGAACGTGAGTTTTCAAGTAGTTTTCAGCGAAAACTGGTTTTCGTTTGACCGATTTTACATGGACGAAAACACAAGTTTTAGGTCGAAAACCAGTTTTAGCAACGAAAACATGTTTTCGATGTCGGTCAGAACATTGCATAAAGGTTTGCTCACTAGTGATATTAGAGTTTTGACAGTCGCTTACAAAAGGTTGCACAAACACACGCACCCACACGAAGGGCCTTGCTAAGGGAGCCGATTTTGTCAATAGGGAGCGAGATAACTTCTTTCTGAGCAAACTTTCCGTTATTGAATCTTGTTGAAGTCCATGTGGCGTCAAAGAACATTGCCAGCAGTGATTTATGCCATGCTCTGACCGACAACGAAAACACTTTGAAAACGTGTTTTGGGATTGTGGGCTGAAGGCTGTTCACACCGGCTGTTAGTGTTTTCGTTGACATTTGCTACACAAAAACAAAACCAAAATGCTTTTCACTCATTTTCTTTTCATTAGCAACCTCTTACTTTCATTCCTATTTTACTTTTGCCAGCCAATTAACAATAAATCTGAAATGGCGTATTAAAGATGATAAAATATGACTTCCACTTCGACAAATAATCGAAAAAACTAGTGCAGACACCGATTGGAATGAGTGGAACGTGAGTTTTCAAGTAGTTTTCAGCGAAAACTGGTTATCGTTTGACAGATTTTACATAGACGAAAACACAAGTTTTAAGTGGAAAACCAGTTTTATCAACAAAAACATGTCTTCGATATCGGTCAGAACATGGTATTAGGACTTGCGGAAGAAAACGTAAATAATTTATTAGAAACAAGTAAGAAAGTCGAACATTAAATACCCGGCGCAAGTATTAAATATATGATTTTCACCTTTCCGAAACCTACCGCTAGATGGTAAGCGGGGGTGTATCAATTTTGAGTAAATTAGAGTCCTTAAATTTCGAAATATTGCAGTTTCAAGCATTTTTGAAATTTACCGTTTTATGAAAAGCGGCCGTAATTTTAGTCCGATTTCAATAATTTTTAAAGTTTTGTTTTTATGTGGCAAGCACAATAACCATACCGAGTTTGGTACAAATTGCTAGAACGGTTAGCGAGATACATATATGTGATCACAAGTGGGCGGTGCCACGCCCATTTTCCAAAATTTTATCATAGACATATTTCTTGGTAAATAATTGTTGCAACCACCAATTTTGAATAAATTAGCTTTAATATTTACTGATTTATCGAAGATTTTGTATTTCTCGAAATTACCGTTATATGGGATGTGGGCGTGGTTATTATCCGATTTTAAAATTTTCAGCCATTTGGTATGCTGTACCAGGATCAACAACTGTGCCAAGTCCGGAAGAAATCGGTGGAGAGGTTGCCAAGATATACACATGTAACCATAAGTGGGCGTGGCTGCGCCCATTTTTCAAAAATTTATAATATTCTTATTTTTCGTCTAAAAATTATTGTAAATATCAATTTTTAGTGAATAATCTTCAGTAGTTACTACAATATCGCAGTTTCCGTATTTCTGAAAATTACCGTTATATGGGAGGTAGGCGTGGTTATTGTCCGATTTCGCCCATTTTCAATACCGTCCGTCCTACACCCAAAAGAAGTTCACGTACCAAGTTTCGTTAAGATATCTCAATTTTTACTCGAGTTATCGTGTGCACAGACGGACGGACGGACGGACGGACGGACGGACAGACAGTCACCGCTTAATCGATTTCTCTTTTCATTCTGATCATTTATGTATACATTTGTCTATATCTTTCTCGATTCGTTTTGCCTGTTACAAACAACCGTTATGTGAACAAAGTTATAATACCCTTGTGCACAAGTGCGCTCGGGTATAAAAATTTTACCACGGAACTTAAAAATAAGAGGTGTAGTATGTAACAAATTTGTCGGTTAATTGCAGATTCTGTTAAATTATTTAAGTGCTAACTTTTCTACCATTTTTACTGGCTTAAACTATCTTGAATCAATGTTTTTTTTTCTAAAGTTCCGGGGTTACTTGTTGCATTCACGCTTGCCATTCTCCCGAAATGTTAAGTTTTTGGTACATTCTTTCCACTGGTAAGACTGCTTTTACACAGTTCAAGTATTGAATTCAATTCTGCTCGCATGTGGAAGAGAGGGGGTGAGAAGAAAAGGGACGAGTGCACATGCGTCTGTACCGTCAAGTCGGTTCAACTTTCGTGCTTTGCTTTTGGCATTTTCGTTGCTTCCCATTTAAAGAACCAAAGACTTGAATTCAACAGAATTGAAACGTGTAAAAGCAAATAAAAAACACAAAAGAGAATGAGCAAGAATTGCTTTCAAGTACTTGAATCATGTAAATCAGGTGTATGGGCCTGTGCCAAGGCATATAAAACAGGTAGCATTAGTGCAAAAACAACCTTTGCAAGGTGTATTAAACAAGGTGGTGTTGGGGCGACAGCTGAGTTTTTCGCCGTGGAGGCCATTACGTCAAAATGATGTGTTTGTTGTAACTCATACCAATGAGAGTATGGACATCAGCGTGTAATTTGTTAGTGTAATTTTTTACTTATATACGGCCAACACCACCTTGTTAAATACGCCTTGAACCTTTGGGTGTATCTTTCTTTCTTGGTAAATTTGTTTGATTCTCGAAGCATTGATCCATATTATTTGCAAGGCTCAGTAATCAGCGTTTGTGCTGCTGAGTTGGCCGAACATTCCAAAAGCTGCTATTCAATCGCTTGTTTTGTATGGAGATAGGTTTCACATGCAAATAGATTTTAACAATGTGTGTGCAATCGTAAAATATTTGAATATTTGTAAAATTTATTTTGGTACCTTCTTTTAAATTTTGTTACACAAAAAAGAAGTAAGTGGCAACCGTGATTACATTCTCGAGTTCAGTGTTGCCGCTACCAAAAAATGAAATTTACCAAAATCGCCTAGAAAATTAAGCAAATCTCGTAAAACTTAAGCAAATTATTTGAACGGAGCTTAAGAGCCGGTCGTTCTATATCTGATTATCACTACCACTACACTAGGCATGTTTTATTCAACCATCACAAGCAAATAGCTAAATCTTGGTCAAATAAAACGAAATTAGCTTATTTCCTATGTTAGCCAAATTTTGACAGTTGTTTGACTGCAAATAGTCGTTTTTGGGGTTGGGGCGGAGGGAGAGGGGCGCGCTCTCCAACCCAAAACCAAAAAAGTTAATTAAAAATAGAAAAAGCAAGTTTTTATAAAAAAAAATGTTCTTTTTAACAAATGTATTTTGCGTAGAATTCCTTTCTGCGTAGGCGGCCTTAGGTCGCACTTAGGGATTATAACCCTCACAATATAGAATCTTTTTCTGTTTTGCGAAGAAAAGGAGCTGAACACCTTTTGCAGAGAACACCTTTGTATATTTTTAATGCTTACAGGATTGTATTCTATCTTCTTTTGTCTCTCATTCTTTTGGATATTTTGGAGTTTGACAGCTGAACTCCGCCATTTAATTTGCATATGCAACCAAAGTCAGACGCGTGATTTTGAAGGTTGTTGTTGTTGGAGCAGCATACAAATTCCCCAAAGACTTTTTGGGGAGTGTTGCTGGAGTGACAGTCCTTGGCCAGATATAAATCTGTGTCGTTCCGGTTACGTAGACCCGACTGTCGTGGGATTTTGAAGGTGTTTTTATTTAATGAATTGTGATTAATTGGTTAATATTAAAGTCATAAAGAAAGTTATAACTAATCGAGTAAAGTGTAAAATGAAAGGGAATACAAAAATATATTGGTGAAGCGGCTGCTTTAAGGAGAATAGGAGTGATAAATGTACGCTAATTTCCGAATTTTACATGAAAGGGCATATTTTAAACCCAGTTTGTAAATAATTTAGTGACCAAAAATTACACAAGTGGGTGTTAATATAATGTGTAGACCCTTTACTACAAGTGTGTGGAATTTTTTTTTTGGACCGGCCACCCCGTTGGACGGAATAACCCGAAATAGTTGGGGGCGTTACTAAACCCCACCCCTATGGTCGGCATTGTTGTAATTCTTGTCGGAACAGATTCGCACCGACAGAAGTGCGTAGGTCTAAACTACCACATAATTCATGAATGGAATTATAAAAAAATTAAGCAACGAAGAAAAATTTAAGTCTGGAAAAAATTTGGCAATTTTGCTTAAATTTAAGCAAAACGGCAACGCTGCCTGAGTAACGTATCAGTTTACGTTATTAGCTAATCTCTGCGTTTCCCCTTCGCAAAAACGCGATTCAATTAATAACCGCAGCCAACTTTAACTTAGAAAAACGGAATTTGAAGAAAGGATAGTGAAAAAGACGCACTGCGATACCGAATTGGAAAATTTTGTGGGAAAACCAGCCCCGATCTTCGAAAAATTAAACAGAAAAGGTAAGTAAATACAATTCTACTGAAATATAGTGATCAATCCGTGGAAAAACGCGTAGAAGTTTGACCACATGGACTTTTACAATACGCCTGTAGAATGCGTTGGGTTAGCGATTACGGCGCTGCCGCTTCGTGTTTCTATAGCGAATGGGACTGGATTGTATTTGGCAATTTCTGGCAAAGTCCAAAATGGCTTTCACAAAAATAAAATTCTTTTTTGTTATTTTTACTAGTAGCTGTTCGAAGGCACACGCTTTTCAAAAATAAAAGAAAAACCTTGTGTTTTTTTCAAAGCACGTTTATCCCCAACAAAGCAAGCGACGCAGCAGCGGCAAAATCAAAATCGCTACCAACGAGACCATCACTATGTCCGAGGCGGGCGAGTATTCTGTGGAACGCATTGAGGACAAGCGTATTTGCAATGGCAGAGTAAGTAGCTCAAACGACATGGCAATGAAAAAATTTTAATTATTTTGTGTAATTCATAGACCGAGTACTTCTTAAAATGGAAAGGATACCCGCGCAGCGAAAATTCTTGGGAACCTGTAGAGAACCTTGACTGCCCCGATTTGATCGCCGCATTTGAGGAGTCTTTGAAAACAAAAAAAGGTAAGAAAAATTATAAAGCCAATAATTTAGCCGTTTGCATACAGTTTCATTAGCACTAAATTTGAAATTTTTTTTGCTTTTCATTGCATCGCGATAGAGGGCAAGAAACGAGCCGCCACTACGCCAGTGAATGACACAAAAGTCAAGCGAAAAACTGTCGAAGAGGAGCGAGACAACCGCCGCACAATGGGCTTCGACAGAGGTCTGGAGCCATCAAAAATTCTTGGAGCTACCGATTCATCAGGTGAGCTGATGTTCCTCATGAAATGGAAGGGCAGCGATGAAGCCGATTTGGTGCCGGCTAAACAAGCCAACGTAAAATGCCCACAAATAGTCATACAGTTCTATGAGGAGCGTCTCACTTGGCACACGGCCAATGCAGAGGAGGATAAAAATTCCACTAGCAAAGAACCGACCGAGTAAGACACTAGTGTAAGAACATTTTAAGTGCAAACAGACAACAAGAAAAAATATATGAATTGCAAAATCAAATAAATATATTGGTACTGCAATGAATCTAATCAGCTTACACAGTAACTGAAAATTGCAATACAGGAATAATTGGCGCGTAAGCGCGGGATAATCTATACAGACCAGATGTAGTGTTAAAATATAAATAAGATCGTTTTTATTCAACGAAATAATGAAAACGTGCAAGTTGCAATTCAACTAAATACATATGCATACATACATACTTTATGTAGTAATTTCTTGATTTTTACCGAAACGAACTCTTAGTAACACAATACTTTCTAATCAGCTACGGCTAATATTGAAGCATAAATAAATTGAGTTGTTGGCACTTTGACTTTTTTTCTACTTTTTTTATGATGATAACCTGCAGAAATATGGTTTGAAAAACCAACAGTTATGAATACATGCGAAAATATATCCATGAAGCATTACATTTAAAATTAAATTAATTTAAATCCTAAAAATAAAGTTCAGTTTGTAAGGACCTAAAACATGAAGTGAGAATAAGATTAATCACATGAAGAAAAGTCCAATCTAATTATTACAAATTAATAAAATTACATAGTTTTAAACAAGTTGTTTATTTTGTTATTCTAAGAGTATAAAACATGTCGCAGATTCTTAAGAAAGTGGTGCTGGGAAGCAAATAAAATAAAGTTTCCATTTGGACGATAACAATTGCAAATATTAATATACAGAGTGTCCTAGACCACGCGCCCACCCCCACTAAAATGGAGGTAAATGTTTTATTGAATAACGCAAAAATATGACCGACCAACTCCGCGATGAAAGTTATGTAAAGTTTGTCCGCAGAATCCATATCTAGTAAAACTATGTACTTACATACATATATCCTTAAAAAAAATTGACTTCGGGTCAGTTTATCTCACTTCCGGGCGGATCCGGAAGTCGGTAATTCGACCAAAAGGTAGAGCATCCCTGACTTGGAGATTCATATTTTTCGTGTTCCAATAAAAACATTTTCGTCCATTTCAGAAGTCCAGGACGAGTTTAGGTATATTAAGCACCGAGTTGAAAAACATTTTTACTACTTTTTTTACTTGCGTATATGTATGTATGTATTTATATTCGAAGTTGTTACATGTACATAGTATGTATGTTTCAATCACACTTGGAGATCGTTTTGTGCGTTCCGGACGAAAGCTCAATTTTTATAGATTAATGTCATTGCAGCTGCTGCCCGCACACCGCGTTAGATTCGCCAACGCCAAATTGTAGAAGGCGTGTTCAATTGGCAGCAGCTCATAGCCGATATTGTTTATTTGATGCGGATCATCTTCTACGTCATACGCCTCAACAAAGTTCTGAAAAATATTTTGGAATTTTAAAAAAATTTTATCTTTTCAAGCCACTACTTACCTCTCTATCATCGAATTCGCAATACAATCGATCAGTGATACCCCTAAAGTGTCTCACACACGCGTATGTATTGTTCCAAGCATCCTGACAATGGCAGTCTGATTCTGGCGTACACTGCGCTAATCGATCCTTGCGTGACCAGGGACAGCCTTCATTGTAAGTGTCGCTGTTACCCTCTCCCCAGTGTTGCACCAGCACGCTACGCCGATACTCTTTCCCACCCAATTCGCCGTCACTGGCACTTTGCAAAGTCACTTGTATTGGCAAGCCATCCATTTCTGTATGCGAATGTAGCCCCGTCCATTGAAGTATGGTTGGCATTAGGTCTAGCAGCAGCGTAGGTTGCGACACAAACACACCATTTGGCACGCCAGGACCGCGCACCATTAGCGGCACGCGAATGTCGGTCTCGTAGGGTTGTCGCTTATCCCAAGGCTGTGCATTTTGGCCCATATGATAGCCATTGTCCGATGTGTAAATTATGTAGGTGTTGTCCAGTTGCTGCTGCTCCGTCAACGCTTCAACAATTGCGGCAACCATTTCGTCTACAGCAAGTAGCGTCTCCCAGCGTTGTTGGTAGAAGTTATCAAGCAGCTTTACGGTCTCGCTTGGTATGGGGCGTGTGGCGGCCACAAGCCAATGCTTTTCTGGAAATATATCGAGGGGAAAAATGTAAAATTTTACAATGAAAACTGATGGCACTCACCTTGTGGCAGAGGTACGCGGTTGAAGTTTGGCGTTCGCAGTGCCTTCACATGCGCAAAGGCACCACGATGCCGCTCGGCTGGCGTATAGGGCGCGTGCGGCGCTGGAGGCGTGATCATTGCGAAAAACGGTTGCTGCTTGTTGCGCGTTTTCAAGAATGCCAACGCCTTATCACGCAGTAAATCTGTTAAATAAGTGTCTGTGTAGCTGACATTGCGTATATTTTCGCGTAGCGTGTAATTGTAGTAACGTGAATTGCCATGCAAGCCGTAGAACTGCGTCCAACCCGGTGGCACCCGTTCGCCGCGAAACTCATTCAAGTATTTGCCACCGAAGAAGGTTTCGTAGCCGCCATCGGACTGCAGCAGCACAGGCAATGCTTGTGGTTCGATTTTTGTGAGCCAGCGGTGGCCATTGCAGCCTCCACTCAGTGAGTTGTTGGTAGTGCCATGATTGTGTGCGTACATGCCGGATAGCAGACTGGCGCGCGAAGGACAGCACAGTGGCGAGCTGGTGTACTAAATAAGATGGAAAGTTAAAACGAACCTTGAATAAAATCCTTGTCTGAATATTTACACCTACCGCATGACCGAATGTAGCGCCGGCTTTGCCAATCAGCTGTTGGACTTGCCTCATCGGTGTCATGCCCTCCAACGTCAGGTCTTGGTCATCGCTTAGTATTAGCACGATGTTGGGTTTTGCGTTTGCCTCACCGGCTTTTGTGGGCGTCAAGGACACCAGCAGCAAGTAAGTAACAACGGCCAAGGTCAGCTGCGATTTTCGCATGGGATGCATAACCAAAATTGTCCTCATGCTGGGACAGATTTTCAGTATCATCAGCGATGGATTCTTTGGTTTTCAGCGTTTTTGGTTATTTTTGAGCTGCTCCGAAGTTAAATATCAATCAATTTGATCATTTGCTGCCTCTTGTTTTGCACAATGGAAACTAGATTTGCAAAACAAAACAAAGCGTAAAATGACATTGAATGTTAAGAGAAAAACACTCGATAGAGAGACTTAACTGAGAACGTTGCCAGACCGGTGAATATAAGGATGAGGCTGTTATAAAAACAAGAAAAAAAATTTTTGGTAAAATTATATAAAAACTTGAACGTTTTCGGTAGTATCATAGATTCAGTTCCCCAAGTCCTAACTTACATTCACCAACCATAAAACAAAAAACATTTAAAGGACTTAAGTTTATTTGCTCTAAAAATATTACGATATTACATGTTTTAACCAAATAAGAGTGTGGATAAATTTAATTTTCTATGGTTTATAACAAATGTATAAAATGAGAAGATTGAATGTATGCCATATACCTAAACTATTTGTGGAGAAGTCGTTATGCGCGGAAGAAGATTCGCTTAAATTACAATAGCAATTACAAAGGAATAATAAACCATAGCATTTGTTTAATGTCAAAGTGCCGCGCCTTTTGCTACTGTCGCTTTTATCATTCACGGTCCTCTTATACAACACGTTTTACTTCGAAGAAGCGTTTCAGATAGTACACTTGGCCGATGGTCATCAGCACTAGTACCAGCGCTTCGAAAGTGGACCACAAGACAACGCGCGAGTTGGTGCTCTCGTTAATCGAGCGATGGATTTTGTCACGCACCTGTGAAAAACGATGAAAATCCCATTTTATATACGGGCCATTTGATTTCTTTAAAATAATAAACTTACATGCATGTATTCCTGCTCATGCTTCACGCCCGTCAGCGTACCAGACAGCTGCTGAATCATGTCCTCCAACTTGGTGTGACCCACCTCTTCTTCGCTAGGCGCACCGGCCGGACGATGCGGCGAATCGCTTACTTCAATCGAAAACATAACCAATTTTGGTGTCATGCTGCTACGCTCGTTGTTGAAGCAAACACGATAGACGCCTGTCGAGACAGCGGCGAAGGTATATTTGCCGGAAGATTCCTTCTCACTCTCGTGTATAACATTGTTATCCGGGCCAGTTATTTTGATATCAATATCGAGGAAGCCGCCTTCGATAACTTCGAACGTGATGCCTGCGGGGTAGGTTAAAATAATGAAATTAGCACAGCTGTGGGGACTTATGGCTAAAAATACTAACCGAATTTGGTGCCGCCTTCCACCTTCTCGTGAAAACACTCCTCAAGGTGTGCATCAACAGTGACGATGAACGCTTCGCTGGCACGCAGCAGTTGTAGAAGCACTAGCGCACATAAAGTTCCAAAGAGTTTGAGGTTCATAATTGCTGAGTATATGTATTCGAATTTCCACGATAAAATCTATAAAGTGTGATAAATTAGTTAAATTCTTCAATGTTTTTCTCTTCGAAATGATACCAAATCAGAGGGCCACGTATAAAAGCAGGTTTGTGACAGCAGAACTAGAAAAAAGAAAAAACGCCACTGTCAAAATGACATAAAGCTCAGGAAGTTTAAGTTGGCAGCATTGCACAGGCACAGTGGCAGGAGCAGATGAAGAAATGAAGAAAAAATATTGAAATGAAAATTTAGGAATTAGAAATGGGGAAATTTAAGCAAAATTGATTAAATATATTAAACAAATATTTAATCTTTTTCTATTTTTATATCAACGTTTGAATATAATTAATTGAAAAAATTTTGTAAAAATAAAAACTTCAAATTCGGTTATTTGTACAATGCTTCTTTTTCAAATGACTTTGAAATTTTAAAGATATGATTAATTCAAAAAGTTATTTAAAACTATCAGTGCAACGTAGAATAACAATATGGGTACCAAATGAGAGGTACCAAATAAAAACAATAAAGTTTTTTGATTTACAAGGACGAATAGGTATTAAAAATGCGCTTTTAATAAATTAAATTTTTTAAGTTAATAAAGCTTGCAGGACGAAATTCGGTGATGAGGTCGTGGGTATATTAGTCCGCAAACAATAAAAAAGGCTAATTTTCAAGGATATTTAGGCACAAAATTTGTAAAGGACATTTTCCATACCCATTTGTCCTTACGCACCAAAAAATCTGTTATAATTCTACAGAATTTTAATTTTTTCTTTAAAAGATACCCTTATTGTTACCTACATTGCACCGAACTTTTTAAATAATTTTTTGAACTTTTTTTGTGCGTAAAATTTACTGTCGCACGGTGTTATACATATGTAAGCAATGTATTTTTTTTGTTTCATTATCTTAGCATAATATGAATTAATTTTATTTTCTTTAATTTAAATTTCTCTTTTTTCATAATCAATTTTCGCATTATGATTTTTTTTTTATATATTTTTTTCAGGAATGGCCATTAGAATTATTTCACCGTTCTCACTGCGAAAACTCTCTCAAACGAGTCCGCGCCCGTGACCCCATTTTTCGGTTGTGCCATCCCAATTAAACTAACCACTTTGAAACTTATTGCACCCTTAACGAACGAGATCAGCTGTTGAAACACACACGCAGTAACAACAGCACATAATAGACACAATTAGAGCAAAGCCCAACTTACTCATTGCGTTGGGAGTGTAGCGAGTGTAAAGAAAATAACACCGACCTCAACAGTGGGTGACTTTTGCGGCAACTGCGCATTGACGCTCCGCTGTGGATGCAGCGCGCACTGATAACTGGTCCATGACATTTGGAAGTGGAGCACAAGCGTTCATCCGGTTTGTGTGCTGGCTGGAAAGTCTCCACAGCATGTCAAAACGCGAGCGCCGTGCGCTGTGCATGTGTGGTTATGTATGTGTGCTGCGCGCGAGCAGAGGACAACAGGCGACGGCGGATACACTTCGCTTGGCCAACATCCAGTGGCTGGCAGTCGTGCGTATTCATTCAAGTTTGCTGGACCACAGCGGGAACCAAGATAACACAAAGGCAAAGTGATCAAATTAAAATTAAATAGATTGCATTGAATGAAAACGTTGAAAGAAACTTTATTATAGTGCTGTAAGCAGATAAGGTGTGTATCGTGAAATGTACGAAAAGCACACAAAACGGAAGTGAAAATTAAATTCCTCAATTATGCGAAGGTGTGTGAGTACGCGTGACCAAATGCAAGTGTGTTTTCGATGCTTCCCATTCCCGGCAGCCATTGTGTTAGACGTTTGACATTCGCTGCGAAAAGTATGCGAATTAAAGTGCTGCGTTGAAATTGTAAAAGTTTGTGAAAAATTGTGAACTATAAACCAGCAATATCGACTGCACAGCATTCCGCCCACTCGCAACCCACCCGCGTGCCAGTGTGAGCATTCAAGCGCATAAAATCTCGTACCTGTAGTTTGCCCCAATAATCGGTAGCCGCAGCACAGGTGTGTAGCGATGCGAAATCCTTATTAATTGCACACATATTACAACAGCGAACCACAATGCGTACAGCTATAACAATAAACACAACAATAGAAACACCAATAACATACAGTTGAAACTATTTTAAGAAGAACAAATAACTGCAGGTGAAATTGATTGCACTCGTTGGCTTAACGAACACATTTGCTGCCAATGCTGCATAGTTGTCGTTGTTGCCACAATACTACACAAGTGCATAAATGTGTGCGAAATTCTCTTCTACCTCCCAGTGCGTGACTTGTGAGATTTGGGTGTGCAGCCAGAAAATTGCTGCGTCGAATGGGATTTGGTGTGTGAATTGAAAAAATTGCAGCACTCGCAATAAGCAAGTGAAATACTATAAAAGCGAGGAAAAAATAAACAAGTGCGAAACTTCATGTATGTACATGAAGTTAAGTGAGCAAGAAATCGGTGTAAGAAAAAAGTTAGGTTATGTGTAGTGCATATACACAGCGAAAACAGGAATTGAATCAATGAAGTGAACACTGGTGCGAATGAGTAAATTGGCAAAGAAAAAAACAAAAGCGTTTAAAATAGAGTTAAGCGAAGCAACTGCGAATATTGAAAGCGTGAAAAGTGCAAAAAGTCGTAGCATAATACAATACTAGTGCAACTAAAGCGGGTGTGGGTGACGAGAGAGGCAGTTAAACGTTTTCTATACGCTTCCGGTGCGGTGGACCCTTTACTTTGCAGCCATTTTTCTCCTTCCTGCCCTCGCATAGACACCTGCCGCTACGCCTCCCGCTGTGTTTGTGCGCTGCAATGGGTGCAATGCCATTAAAATGCATGAATTGGCATAAACAAAGGGTCTGTAGCTGGTGAGTTGCAAAAACAAAAGGTATGAGAATAAAAACAAAAACAGCAACTATGATACATATGTAAGTATTTTGTAAGGGGGCAGTGTGTACAAGTGTAAGTGATTTACATATATATTTGCGGCATCTGCGACTGCTGCGAACAGCAGTAAAAAAAGTGTGAAAAATTTGCAGAGAAGGCAAAAATCGCATAATTATGTGAAGCTACTGAAGCTTAGAAAACAAAAGAAAGTGGGAATGAGAGAAATGAAAACGGAAATAGCTCTGTGTGTATGTATGTATGTAAGTATGTATGTATGTTAGAGTGAGCATAGACAACTGGCATTTAGTATACCCTTTACAAACTGGTAATTTTCACAAAAAGCCTTAAAAATTGCATGATTTCCCTTAAAAAGGTTTCACTAAATCTAAATTAGTTATTTACTAATCCCATTCATGGTCACCTTTAAACAGTTTTTTAGAGATCACACCATTCCATAGCCAAATTAGTAGTGAAACGTCGTTGCTCTTAAGTTCAAGAAGAAATTGTGTGTTTTTCCGTATAAGGGCTGCTGCCTAATTGGCTTGCAACCCAATAGACTAAGGGCTGGTTACTCCAACTCAACTTAGTTTAGCCAATTTTTTAGACTTAGTCAAGAATAAGCCGTGGAAAGAGTAGGCTAACTTTTAACTTAAGTCCAAAAAATGGCTAAACTAAGTTAAGTTTATTTACCGAAACCAGCTCTCTGGTTTTATATATTTCGGAAAGCTTCCCAGTTGCTAAAATATACTTTAAGGTGAAGCTGTGCAACGAGGTAACCTCTTCCAGCAATCACTCCAAAGCCACCAATAAGATTTAACAAGCTGAATAAATTTTAACTGCCGATTAGACCACAAAAAAACTTTTATTTATAACTAGCAAATGCCCGGTGTGCTTCACTGCGCCTTAAATGTATTTTTGTGTTGTTATTCCCTCCCAAAACTCGTATGGGTTCATTCATAAAAAAACGAAATAGATTTAAAGAGCTTTATGAAGTGAGATTTTCAAACAAATCATTGATTTATGAAACACACTTTATTTTTTATGAATAATGGTGTCAGTTAATGTATTTTCGAAGGTATTTAAACCTGGAAATTTAATTATACACTTATAATGCGATTCTACATTACGTGCATTTTCGTAAAAGGTGTACTAATTCAGTATTTACCTTATCTTATCACTTTGACTGAAAAAAAAAACTTTCAAATAGTTGGCAACCGCTACAAAATTAATTTCGGAAGTAAACTTTTCAAATCTTTTTAGTTTTATTCCCGTATTGTAATATTTCATTTATTTTATGCATTTAGTAATTCAATCAAATTTTTTCAAACAGGTGGCAACCCTCCTAAAAAATATTTTTGGTAGTAAACTTTCCTAAACCTCTTTAGTATGATTCCCAATATTTAATTTATCTTATCATTTAAATCAAATTGGAAACTTCAAACAGATGACAACCTTCCACAAAAATATTTTCGACTGTAAGCCGTCTTAAATATATGTCTTTTGACAGCCATATTGCAATATCTATTTTAACTTATAAATTTAATTAAACTGCAATTTTCAAGCAGGTGGCAACTCTATAATTATTATTTTTCCGATATTTTAAGTTAGACTTTTAGAAATGTATCGGTGAAAACTGATTTCGATTCGAGTTTTCGAGTGATGCGCGTACAAACAGACATACAAAAATTCAAAAAATTGGTGATTTGGCTTCTGTTGCTCTAGTAAAGACCCCGCATATTAATTTTTCTTTAAAATCTATAATGTAGACATCGGCTTGTTACAATTTTACACTTAACAGAGAAAAGCAAAAAGTGTAGAAACTTCAGGTTGCAAAAATTTGGTGTTTTGTATCAAAAACATTATTTTGCACTTTGTAAAGGGTATACAAACTGACCAGTTGCAGAGCTTGAAATACCTTAACAGTTTCTATTGCTTCGTATAGCTAGCGGCAGCATTATGAAGTAGTCATTGTAAGGAAAAAAAAAAAAAAACACTAGAGCAAAAAACCCTAATAGGGAGAACTAACAAACAGTGAAAGCAAAAACACCAACACAAATACAAAAGCTCTGCCATTTAACAACAACAAAAAAGTGTTATTAGTGCCGGGAAAAAATTGAAAACTTTACGGCAGGCAACCAACCAAACTGAATACGTGAAGGATAGTTAAAGTTAGTGTAATTATGTTGAACGCATTCACTGACACCTTTGTGCGACACAGTTAGTACGTGGGTCCAAGCAAATGCCATGCTGCAGTGAACAATCTGAGAAGTCACGCGTGCATACCAGGAAGCAAGCGTACAATAGTAAAAAACGAAACGCACAGCTGAGACATTTACGTTGAACAGGTGCCAGTTGGACATAAAATAAAGGGTAGTGACATATACCACATAAAAAATGTCACACTACACCAACACTCATCGTGTTACATCCACCATGACAGTTGTGTGCACGCCTGTTGCTGGCCTAATTTTTATGATGAGCATGTGCGAATCCTCGAGGCTATAACTTCAGGTGAGTTAAAGTAATTTAAGCATATAAAAAGAAGGGTTAGATTTGGTCCTTTAATTTCCTTTTGCATGCACGCTGATTGTTTTATGCCCATTTTTTATGGTAGCACATTTTTGACACATTTATTCCCTTACTTCCGCTTTTTATTTACGTAAATTTTTTCTTATGACAATACGGGGAACTTGAGCACTTCGTAGAAAATTTTAAATAGTAATTTTGCAGCGTTAAAGCTTTCGCAACCCGACTTATCATTAAACATCGAGTTAGGGAAATTTCCACTTGTCATGTAGGTTAAATAATACCGACATTGACGCGCTTCATTTTACGAAATAATCAATCTTCATGTCAACAGTGCCAAGCGTCTATTTCCACTTACAAATACAAGATTTCAACAAGAGCTGAAGAAGGCAATCAAACAGCCAATTCCACCCAGAATTGACATAAATTTATACATTGGAAATTGAAAATGTTGAATAGTGTGTCAGTGAGCGTATGTGGGCGTAGTGTCGTAGCGTATAAACATACGTACAAACGTAGGAAAAATACTGCAAAGAGCAAATAAAAATGTTAAGTATGCGCATTAAAAATGAGCAGAACCCATGTAATGTTCGTTGGCGATTTATGGCGACATAAGCAGTAAAACAGGTGGCATTCGTTGTTGAGTGAGGTACATACAAAGTTCGAGGCGTGGTTTCCCTTGTAAAAAGGAATGAAAATAAATGAAATAAAAAGAAAAAAATCTAGCGCGCATTTTTTCCACAGAACGAGGGCCTTTTTTGCGAATAGATGCGTTTCTGCTATGTCGTTCATTTGCAAAATGACAACCCAGCAAAAGTTT